ACAAGGACCGGACAATAACAATATACAAAACGAGGATGTCATTTGTTTGTCAAGGCTTTTAAATTTGAGAACGTTCAGGAATGTTCTACAGATGGTTGAAAGGTCAGTCAAAACATGTGGAAGACACAAAGTGTCTTAATTCAAAATCTGACAAAATGTAAGCGAGTAATATTCAAACAATTTAAAAAAAACTTTTAACCACGTGATGAACACTCATTTGCGCTTTTTCAATAGAACATTGCTTAGCAAAGTCACCTATCATTTACTTTTCTTAGCAATATGTTTTAAATTGTTTTATTGATTAATTCATTTGTTTAAAACTAAAATATATTTTAGGGTTGTAAGATTTTTAGAGACATTAATACTTTACTGATACAAATCTTACTATTTAACACATAATTTGGGCATGAACAGGTGGATGCATTCCTTTCGCAAGAGTATTTGCACCAAAGTGAATATAACGATCCCGATTTGAACTCGACCCTCGGATTTTTAATTCCGGCTCTTTATCCATTACACCACCCATACGACCAAGCTTACAGCACCAGATATTCTCGAGCAGATAGATATCGGGAACTAACCATGTAAAACATTGCTTAACTTCAGTGATGGTATGAGAACCGGTGTTGCAATATGATATGGCTGTAAGCCAAATTATTACTTTTTTAAATAACCAGGAAATAAAATATTGTTATGTTCGAAATGAATTTTTAAAATTTAATGAATTATTATTTGAATGACGTTTCAAATTTGTTTCTTGGAAGTTTCAACGAAAATAAATAAGCAGGGTATAAGAGTAGGGCGTTTTTTTTTTCAAAAAATAAAACAAAAAGCAAGGTATGTTTATTATATACCTGAGAAGATAAAAATGTTTAAAAGGTGAGAAAAAAGATATAAGGTAAAAAGAGAGAGGAAGAATATATACGAATTAAATAAGGAAGACAAAAAAAAACAAAAAAAAACGAAAGGCCAAAAACAAAAATGGAAAGGCGCTAAAAGAAAGGAATTGAATAAAACCCTAAAAGAGAAAGACAAATAATTAGACGAAATAAACATAACTAATTAAAGAAAAGATTAAACAGAAAAATATAAAAGGCTTAAAAGTAATAAAAAATAAACATTAATTCTAAAAGATTAATGCTTCCTCTTCACCAGATATCACTGGCAGGGATTTATAACCCAAATTTTATGTGTGGGCGTTTGAAATGGTAACAGGTGGACGACTGCTCCTTGACAGGTGTTAGCTGAAGGGCAATTTAACATTGTTTGATGGCTGTGCCTGCTGATGATGTCATCGGCTTTTATTGTAATTCGGTTAACAAATTCATGGGAATAGAAATGAAGTTATAGATCGTCTTTAAGCTTAGCAAGGTTTGCAGAATTCTGCTTTGTTATTTGTAATAGACTGATTTCATTAGAAACGTGTTCAACATTCATAATCATAAATATTGTGCCTTTTCACACTTGCTACAAACTTTTACACAAATGTTACCAACGATTTTAAAAAAAAGACAAAACAATATCAATAAAAAAAAAATTCCGATGCTGATATGATGATATATTCTTTTCAGAAAATATTGCAATAAAAATGTCAAATATCTATCTATCTATCTATCTATCTATCTATCTATCTATCTGTGTTATTGGTTGTATAGATAGATAGATAGATAGATAGATAGATAGATAGATAGATAATCTATCTATCTATCTATACAACGATATTGCTTATTGATAAGTAATTCAGATAACTCAATGTTACTTTAGCCTGATCATTATGAAACTTTTATTAACGAAACAAATATTTATTTTCCGACCCAATTTCTTTCTTTGTCAATGCACACAATTCAACGTAGCATTCTGCATGTAGTCATAACAATTTATTACTTAAAAGTTATTTTAGTGCATTCCCATAATTGAGCAGACGCTGGTGAAGAGATTCTTGGACAGATATTGAAAGATTTTAAGACACACACGGACACACGCAGAGACACTCACACACATATATTTATATAGATAGACAGATATGAAAAGATTTTAAGATAAATATGGAGAAATTCTTACATATATATATATATATATATATATATATATATATATATATATATATGTGTGTGTGTGTGTGTGTCTGCGTGTCTGTGTGTCTGTAGTTAGTGTGTATATATATACATATTAGATAGATTAATAGATATGAAGAAGTGATATATATATATATATATTTGTGTATAGATAAATATATAGATACAAACAGAGATAGATAGATAGATACGAACACACTGAGATACATCAATTTAAATACTGAGATAGATAGAGAGATAGATAGATAGATAGATACGAACACACTGAGATACATCAATTTAAATACTGAGATCGATATATAGGTATATTGTATAGATAGATACGAAGACACTGAGATAGATCAATTTAAATACTGAGATAGATAGATAGATAGATAGATAGATAGATAGGTAGGTAGGTAGGTAGATAGATAGATACGAACACACTGAGATAGATCAATAGATAGATAATTCAATGACAAAATGGAAATAAATGTACGGACCATATTGCGTTCTACAAAAGTATTTCTTCAGACTAAATAATATCTTTTTCTTTCTTTTTTTATTGATGGGGTCTTATATGTAGGTGGACAGAATGAAATCAGGCCTACGTCGGTGATATTTATACACCGTGAGAAACCGACGCGTGTTTCGATTTTGTTTCCACCTCTACATATACATTTCCATCAAGAAAAGTTTCATTTTGTCTGAAGAAATCTGTTTGAAGTACGTATAGCGTCTCACTCTATTCTTTCATTCAATTTTCCAACTTTAATCTTATATATAGCGTTGATACACAAACATACACACGCATAGAATGGATTGCTGCTCGGATAGAGGAATCGGAGAGCCGAATACGATTTCCAGTCGAATTGATTCCATTCATTTACGTGGAAAAGTTTTGTATCCATCTCTTCTTCAACCAGCATGACGTACTGGATTGTATAACTATTATGGTCCAGGTTAGGATCAAGGAAGAACAACACGAACACAAGAGTAGAAATAATGAAGGTATATTACACGAAATAATAATACAAGATGTGGAAGGTGTTAGTATGACTGTCAGTCTGGTTTGGAGTGAACTACTATCGGCTCTACTCGATTCGGTGTCTTGCCACCCCCCACGAGGGTTACATGTGGCACAAGGCCGAGTTTAACGTGGGTTTCTCGAGCCTGTAGGTTAGGCCAAAAAAATGGCCGTAGAACCCGTATAAATGGGATCGGGTTGGTCAACCTCCCCGAACGAAACTCTGCCCTTCGGTGGAGCCTCGTCCGGGTTCCTCTCTGCTCAGAGGCAGAGAGTTCGACCGTCAAGCCGATAAGCTCGGCTCGATTCGGTATCTAGCCACCACCCCCACGAGAGTTGCATGTGGCACAAGGCCCAGTTTAACGTGGGTTTCCCGAGCCCGTAGGCTCGGCCAAAAAATGCCCGTAGAACCCGTATAAACGGGATAGGGTTGCTCAACCTCCCCGAACTAGACTCTGCACTTCGGCGGAGCCTCGTCCGGGTTCCTTTCTGCTCAGAAGCAGAGAGTTCCACCGTCAAGTCGAGAAGCTCGGCTTGATTCAGTATCTAGCCACCCCCCCACGAGGGTTGCATGCGACACAAGGTCATTTTTATCGTGGGTTTCCTGAGCCCGTAGGCTCAGCCAAAAATATGCCCGTATGACTCGTAAAAACGAGATCAGGGTAGGTCATTCACCCCGAACGAGATTCTGCCCTTCGGCGGAACCTCGTCCGGGTTCCTTTCTGCTCAAAAGCAGAGAGTTCGACCGTCAAGTCGAAAAGCTCGGCTTGATTCGACCCTCTCTCTTGAGAGGCGTAGTATACATAGTGTTAGGAAGAGTTCATTCTATAGGTGGACCCATGACAATAACCTTGGCTGGCGTAAGTTCTAGGCGAAAATAAATCTTAATACAAATACTGCATTTGGGCGTTTGGGGAACTTGTAGCATTATTGGGCGCCAGGTTTCTGTAGTCGGCTCTTCCAAAATGTGTGGTTGGTTCTACACAAGGCTTCACAACTAAAATCAAATGATATGTGCGAGTAGTCAGGCTGTTGGTTCGAAGAACTGAGATGTTTGACCTTCATACGTGGTAAACGAAGGGAAAACCTACTACACACACACACACACATGCGCGAATAAACACACACACACACACACACACACACACACACACATATATATATATATATATATATATATATATATATATATATATATATATATATATATATATATATATATATAAATACTATATATATATATAATGAAAACTTATCAGAAGATACGAAAAATTTTACATAAAATAAATAGACAACACTTGTCTATATTATTTAATGAAACGTATAAATAAATATATATATATATATATATATATATATATATATATATATATATATATATATATATATATATATATATCAAATTCTCTCATCGAGAAAAATTGAATTGAGTTTTGCTTGAATTTTTTTAGTGGTATATTAACACATCTATCGGTTATTTAACGAGGAAATTTAAATATTTTGAACACAATTTTATGGCTTCAACGAAATATATTTTAAACGCAATTACATGCTTGCAATTACAGATGTAAAGTATTGTTGGTCACTTTCCGATAAAATATATTGTTGTTACTTCTACCACAAATAGGTATTGGTGACAATTTTTTTATGTAGATTTTTTTACTATAAAAATTTATTGCTTGTATTTTTACTAAAAAATGTATTTTTATATTTCAAAATTGTTTTGTTTTTGTTTTGTTTAACTATTTGCCTATAGTGGAGGCCCTAACCGGTGCTACTGCAGACACACACACAAAAAAGTCACACCCACACACACCCCCACACACACAACCAACCAACCAACCACACACCCACACCCACACACACGTGCACACACACACACACACACACACACACACACACACACACACACACACACACACACACACACACACATATATATATATATATATATATATATATATATATATATATATATATATATATATATATCATGTGTAACAGCAAAAGTTGTCCAGAGTAACAGCATCCCACAAAATGTAAAATATCTAAAAAAACAACACTAAACTAATTGAGTTTCTCTTTTCCAATTTTTCAGATAAGACGTTTAGCCATCTAGGCATCATTTGTTGTAAGAATCAATGAAAAAACCCTTTGAGTTATTCAGCTGAGAAAGAGAACAGGTGAAAATCGTTTGTGTCAGTCCCACACTCTTCCCAAATGAGCAATAGTGAGAGGAAATAGTTCATTCATGCTCTAGCTTCTATCTTCAATGTCCATTTATGAACCATCAAGAGAACGGTGTTTAGATTTTAAAAATATGGAACAATAGCAAGGAAACCTGGATCAGGGGTCACAGTAACAAGAGCGATCATCATTTCAAATTAGAGCTAAAGAGATCAAGTGGAAAAGATCAAACTTAATGCATAAGACATTTGACACCTGAGTGAGGAATTTCAGCTATAACAGTGGAGCATGACTAAAGACTGTGTGTACGCTATCCCGTGCAGCTGCGGAAAGGAATATAAAGGAGAGACAGGCCGCCCCCTCAAGGTAAGGCTTCAAGAACACCAGAAAGCTGTAACGCGAGGGGAAGTAGAAAAATCAGGCATGGCTGACCACATATGGAGATAGAAGGGAGATCACCGCCCCCTGTGGGATCTTTGTTGAGATCATAGATGGGGAACAACATTGGAAAATTCGTAAACTTATGAATCAGCACATATGCTAGGCCACAAAAAATCTCCTGAGCCGACCAAGCATAGAAATAAATACAATATAGGGAACCAGTAATAAGGAGTGCCAGAGAAAAGCAATGATAACAAAGTTGCAATATGAACTCTGGTAAAGACATGCAATGATAACAGCAAAAATTGCAATATGAGCACTGGTAAAAATGATGCTGAAAACATTAGGTTTATAATAATCAGAAGTTCATACCCAGATGGACAAGGACACATGGCACAGTGGATAAAGGCGTTGGTTAGATCCAGTGACAGACCCAAAAGAAGGTGAGTTCAGTTCCTGGTTAAGGCAGTGGAGAACTTTCAGAGGGAAATTAGCAGGAGATTACTGATAACTGACATCCATCAAACATGGCACGTGGAACTAGAACTGTCTACCCCAGTGATCGAAATAAAGGGTTCAGTTCGAAATTCCAACCACCTGAAGAAGGCCGGAGCGTACAACGTCGAAACAATAGTCATCTTTTGGGGTAAATTAAAAAGACACAGTTATTGTAATACTGATAAAATCTGCATTTCGCCGTGATGGTGTTTAAAAAACAAACAAAAACAAATAAAAGAAGCGAGAATTCGCTCCGTTGTAATTATTATCATTATAATTATATCCGTTGTAGATATGGAATATTTTGCAAAACCGGTCTCCCAATATAAAGGAGCTGACCGAAAATTGGTAACATGCAACAAAATGGTCATATGCACATCAATACGTTGCGGGTACACTCGTAATATATTTTTTTGAGTATTGGTTTCCCCAGAATCTGAAATTTTTGTTTATTATTTTCGTAGTGTAGTATATTGCTGTTGTCAATGAGTATTTTTCTGTATTGTGAAGGTCGACAGGAATGCCTTTTAAGAAGCTGGGCAATAGAACTTGTATCCGACAAATGAAGTGTAAGACGTCTTCATAATATTGTGATCGTCATACCAACAATACACTAGAGTTCAAAATTTTGAGGAAATTCCTGGTAAATTTCTAAATTGTCCCAACAGTACTTGTTTTGTACTTTAAATAAGAGAATATTATTATACATGTCTAAAAAAATGACACATGATTTTCTGTTGAAAATTTTATTATGACAAAAAGATAAAAACAATTCTATGATTAAATTTTGCTCTCGTTAAAATATCCTCCTTTTAGCCTTTGGTTACAGCAGCATAAAATTTTGGCATTCGTTGCAAAAAGTTTCTCAAAGTATAAGTTTGATAATTTATTTGATTCTTTTTCAATGACTCCTAATATATATATATATATATATATATATATATATATATATATATATATATATATATATATATATATATATATATTTCCGTGAATTTAATAGAAAATATCATGAAATAATATAACCACATGATATCATTTTCACAGGTCATTGATGAAATTTAAAAGCATAAACATTTGAAAGTCAACTCTTCACACGTCTTTCCAATTTGTAACAACAGTTTGAATGGAAAAACTTTTGGCTCCTTTGCAAGAGTTCTTTATAAAAAAAAAGTGATGTAAAAAAATCTAAGTGTGTTATTTGTCATTAATGTCAATTTTCACACCTGTAAAAACGCTAAATAGAAATACGTGGCGAGGCCGGATTTAATTAATGAGTCCAATTTCTCTCTTTGTTTTTTTTGTATCTTCCCTTTGACCGACTGAATTTGAAATCTCCGCCTTTTGCATCAA